ATTCAGGCTCCACTTCTAATTCTACTTCTCTTGTTGTTTCCACCACACCTGCAGTTACTTCCTCCACTGAAGTCTTGAATTCCTCCAAGCCATCCATGAGGGTGGGAATCTGTTTCTTCCAAACTCCTGTTAATGTTGATGTTTTGACTTCCTCTCATGAATCATGAATGGTCTTAGTGGCATCCAGAATGGTGAATCCTTTCCAGGTTTTCAGTTTACTTTGCCCAGATCTATCAGAGGAACCTACACAGCTAGGGCCTTAAAAAATGTATTTCTTAAATAATTCTTGAAAGTTGAAATTACTCTTTGATCCATAGGCTGCAGAATGGGTGTTTTATTAGCAAACATGAAAACATTAATCTCCTTCTGCATCTCCATCAGAGCTTTTGGGTGACCAGGTGCACTGTCAATGGGCGTAGTATTTTGAAAGGAATGTTTTTTCTGAACAGTAGTTCTCAACAGAGGGCTTAAAAGATTCAGTAAACCATGCTGTGAACAGGTGTACTGTCATCCAAGCTTTGTTCCATTTCTGGAGCACAGGCAGAGTAGATTTAGCATAATTATTATTATTATTATTTTTGAGACAGAGTCTCTGTCACCCAGGCTGGAGTGCAGTGGCTCCATCTTGGCTCACTGCAAGCTCTGCCTCTTGGGTTCACACCATTCTCCTGCCTCAGCCTCCCAAGTAGCTGGGACTACTAATTTTTTTGTTTTTTAGTAGAGATGGGGTTTCAGCATGTTAGCCAGGATGGTCTCAATCTCCTGACCTCGTGATCCACCTGCCTCGGCCTCCCAAAGTGCTGGGATTACAGGCGTGAGCCACCGCGCCTGGCCAGATTTAGCGTAATTCTTAAGGGCCCTAGGATTTTTGGAATAGTAATTGAGCACTGGCTTCAACTTAGCCGCCAGTGCAGTGGCTCAGGCCTGCAATTCCAGCACTTTGGGAGGCGGAGGTAGGAAGACTGCTTGATCCCAGGAGTTCAAGACCAGCCTGGGCAACATACAGAGACCCTCTGTACAAAAATTAACAAATTACCTGGGTATGGTGGAGCGTGCCTATTGTCCCAGCTACTCAGGAGGCTGAGGTGAGAGAATCTTGCATCTGGGAGGTCAAGACTGCAATGTGTTATGATAGCTCTGCTGCAGTCTTGCCTGGTTGACAGAGTGACACCCTGTCTCCAAAGAAAAAAAAAAAAGTCACTGACTGTGTTAGTCCCTAACAAGAGAGTCAGTCTGTCCTTTGAAGCCAGGCATTGACTTATCTCTCTAGCTACGAGTTCTAGATGACTACTTCTTGCAATAGGAAGTTGTTTTTGTCTACACTGAAAATATTGTAGCTACTTTCATTTATGATCTTGGCTATTCTGGTTAACATGCCACTTCACGCTGCATTTTTGCTATGGAGATGGCTTCTTTCCTTAAACCTCATGAACCAACCACTGCTAGCTTCAAACATGACTTCTGGTTCCTCACCTCTCTCAGCCTTCATAAAATTGAAGAGAATTAGGGCCTTACTCGGGTTAGGCTTTGGCCTAAGGGAATGTTGTGGCTAGTTTGATCTATCGAGACCACTAAAACTTTCTCCATATCAGAAATAAGGCTGTTCTTTTTAAATCATTCATCTGTTCACTGGAGTAGCACTTCGTTTTTTTCAAGAACTTTTCAGCCAGAGAATGAGAAGCTAAAAAACAACAAAAAAACACTTTGATTTTGTGTTCACAGCTTGGCTGGTCCAAAAGGCCTGCCCAGCTTTCAGCCTCTCTTGGCCTTCAACATGACTTTCTCGCTCTGGCTTTTGATTTAAATAGAATGAGAGATGGGGACTCTTCCTTTTGTTGAACACTTAGATGCAATTGTAGGGTTAATAATTGGCCTAATTTCAATCTTGTTTGTCTCAGGGAACCAGGGAGGCCTGAGGAGAGGGCAGAGAAATGCGGAAAGGCTGTTTGGTGGGCATTCAGGACATACATTTATCGATGAAAAGTTTACCATCTTTAATGGGCACAGTTGATGACACAAACGCTCAATTTGTAAAAAATACAATATAACAAGGTATACCTATATTGGGAAATGAGTCAGAGCTTTAAGGCAGGGAAAATTTGCTTTTATTCTTCAGTGAAGTAACTTATCTGTGGGCGTTTCTTTACAGATGTGAAGGAATGGACAAGAGTTGAGCAGCCTTTCTGCCGATTATCACACATCATGAGCTGAATGACTGCGGCTTGCCAAATCTTTGTGTTTCTGGGTCTGACCAGTTAGCTTAGTTCTTCTCCTGCCTAATTTTGAACTAGTAAAGCAAAGTGAGTCATCAGATTATGAGTTACTGTTTAAAAGAAAAATGCTGTTTATTCATGCTGAGGTGATTCAGTTCCCTCCTTCTTACAGAAGTATTAATTCACCCCACACTAGAAAAGCAGCATCTTTGTGGATAGTCTTTTTCACAAACCTCCAAGGCTCCTTAGATTGGGTCATTACTAAAAGTACATTAAAACACTCTTGTTTAAAAATGAATTATTTCCGTAATCGAAGTGTATTGATGTATTCTAAAGCTAGTAAACTTCCCTAATGTTTAATTGCCCTACAGATGCTTCTTTTGCTGTGGGTTTTCTCCTGTTAGTGGTCTGAAATAATGATTTTCCTGTTCTATTAATATATAGTGTATTTTGCACAAAAAATTAACCTGGTCAGTAGTGATTACCAAAATATGTATTAATAATCTTGGCAATTTTTGACATTTTAGCCCACGTTAGTTCTACATTATTCTTAAAAGAAACTCAGCTACTGCAAATTTTGTCTTTCTGTAAATGTTATTAAAATATCCAGTGAGCTCTTTTAGAAGGACTCAGTAATATTTCAAGACTATTTTTGAGGTAGTTCTAGCCTTTTAAAATATTCTACAGACCTATGGGGCTTAAAAGAACCCAAGTACCGACTAAGCAAATAGGCAAAAGACATGTTGGAAATGTAGTATAGTACTTGAACCATTCACTATCATAGGGATTATTGGTGCATCCTGTGTAAATGGAAGCTGAGCTTGACACCTGGTGCTTTTAACTAGTGATAAAGTCATCCTTTCACTGCAAGCACAGCATACCTGTACCTCCAAAAGTGATGTTTTAGTGAACAGGCCGTTTTCAACACTTGTGCCTTGGGGTGATCATTGAAGCTTTGTGAAAACTACTGATGTTTTCTCAGTCTCCTTAAAGTTACGTCCATGCTTTAAAATGTCTGTAGGAAAGTGGGTTTATGTTTTCTCTAAGATACCTTTGCTGCTTTCCATACTTTGAAACTATTAAGCTTCTTAACTGCCTCTTATTGGAAATACTTCTGGGGAAACTTCATGGTCCCACAATGTCATTGCCATACAGCTTCACTAGAGTTCTTTGAACCACAGCTGAAAAGAGCTTTGTATTATTTTTTAATTCCCTCTCCAGATATCGTTTTAGGAGTATTATAACAAAGGTGGTGGGCAAAAACAATGTAAGGAGCCTTTCCAGTTATCTTGAGTTGCAGCTCTGTAGTTTCTTTTTTGAGGCCAAACACACTGTATTTTACAAGTCAAAATATAATTTATATTAATCACTATGTTAATGAGTATGTGAAACATTCTTTTGCATTGATGAATTTTGTATCTGCCTCCATTAAAAGCATAACAGCCATAGTTGTTGCGTGTTATTTGTAAAACTATTTGTCACAAAGTGTGGTGTTATATAATGTGGTAACTTTTGGTTAGGAATCCAGCTGAGAAACAGCTTGAGCATAAAAATAACCAGTGTATTTTATGAAAAATTAGAAAACAATAGGTATATTAACCTCCATTTTCAGTCTTTTATGAAAACTATTCGTATCTATTAAAAAAAAACCTACGGGACTTCAGCTAAGACTCAGTGCCTTTCTACTGGATTCCTCTTACTAGATGCATCCAAAAAGGCCCTAGTTTACTTTCTCCAATCATATAGCCACCCGGTATTTAATACAGTAATATTTATGTGTGTAACCTGTAGTGCAGTTATACATGATTAACTTCATACTGTGGATGAGAAAACAAACTCAAACTAAACAGCTTGGCCTTATGTCCTTTAGTTTTCCCAAGGCTTCCTTGAAAAAAAACATCTAGCTCTTGGTCAGGCATGGTGGCTCACGCCTGTAATCCCAGCACTCTGGGAGGCCGAGGTGGGTGGATCACCTGAGGTCAGGAGTTTGAGACCACCCTGACAAAGATGGTGAAACCCCGCCTCTACTGAAAATACAAAAATTAGCTGGGCACGGTGACAAGTGCCTGTAATCCCAGCTACTTGGGAGGCTGAGGCAGGAGAATTATTTGAACCCAGGAGGCGGAGGTTGCAGTGAGCTGAGATCGCGCCACTGCACTCCAGCCTGGGCAACAGAGTGAGACCCTGTCTCGAAAAAAAAAAACCAAAACCTAGCTCTGATTTATTCCTAGTGAGGCGTTAATATGTATGGAATGAAGCAGGATCATTGGAAAGATTGTTCTAGTATGCTAGTCTAATGGTTAACCTGAAATACCTTGAGGTGGTTTAGCATCAGCTCTATTGGTGAATGCCACCAGTAGCTTATTTCTTTTTTTGAAATGGAGTCTCACTGTTGCCTGCGCTGGAGTGCAGTGGCATCATCTGGGCTCACTGCAACCTCCGCCTCCTGGGTTCAAGCGATTCTCCAGCCTCAACCTCCTGAGTAGCTGGGGTTACAGGGGCACGCCCACCACACCCGGCTGATTATTGTATTTTATTAGTAGAGACAAGGTTTTGCCATGTTGGCCAGGCTGATCTTCAAACTCCTGACCTCAGGTGATCCTCCTGCCTTGGCCTCCCATAGTATTGGGATTACAGGCGTGAGCCACCGCACCCAGCCACCAGTAGCTCATTTCAACACAAACATGAAGATGTTGTTTTGCCTCAATTGGGACAGAAAATGCTGAGAGTACCTTTCACTTTATACCAAGGTAGATACTTTTAAATTGAGACAACTATGTTTCTGTGTTGGAGTTACAACTTTAGTTCTGTTTTTACCCTTTATTTGGAATACAGTGCAACATTACAGTTTTGGATCATTAAATGAACAGACTTGGTGATATAGTACTGACAAGCATGACCTGAATTCTGGGAGTAAGTGGTTTTCTAGTTCATGGGGGAGGAGAAGAGATATGTGCAAGATCTTCTCCAGAGGAGAAGAGAACCATGGTTCTCAGTGAGTCACCAAAGGCCTTTGGCTTCAACTCACTAATGGCTGGAACAAGTGCCAGTCTTGGTCAACCATCCAGGATTTTCATCACAGCAAATCAAAATCTCCAATTTTTCAAACTAATTGTAGGTAGGAGAGAGAGGATAACTCCAGACTGTCTTATAAAATGATCTAGATACTAAGTGTCCTCCATTCATGAGTTGGCAAAATCTTCAGAGTGACTGTTGGAGCAAGGAGCCTTTCATGTGCTCCCAGTTATTATATAGTGCATAGAGGCTGGTAAGTGTTAGTCCTGTCAGACCACCTCGTGCTATCCCTCGAAGACCACCTGGGAAAAAGAGACAAAAGGAAAATGAAACAGCCATATATTGCATAGTGCCCTAGCATGATAGGGTTAAATAAAAAGTACTGTGAAATGGGCTGGGCACCATGGCTCAGGTAATCCCAGCACTTCAGGAGGCCGAGGTGGGTGGATCGCTTGAGGTCAGGAGTTCAACCAGCCTGGCCAACATACTGAAACCCTATTAAAAATTCAAAAAAATTGGCTGGGTGTGGTGATGTGTGCTTATAGTCCCAGTTACTTGGAGGCTGAGGTTGCAGTGAGCTGAGATCATACCACTGCACTCCAGCCTGGACAACAGGGTGAGAGAAGTGAGACTCTGTCAAAAAACAAAAAACAAAAAACAAAAAACTGTGAAATGGGGAGAGACCTTTTTTAAATAAATCAATACTCCATCTCAAAAAGGAGATAAAGTTTTTAAAGTAATACCACTTGTGTAATACATACGACTTGACATTTTCATGTTCACATTTCCCCCCCCCTACTTTCCAACTTGTTCCTATGGCAGTTTATTACTGGAGCTGCAACTAAAACAGTCATTTCCTGCTAGTAATATCATTTAGAACTCCATTAGCATTGTCATTGGATTTATGACTGTAATGTAAACAAGGTGGCACCCTATCTGGAAAGAGTATTAACAACCTTTGGACTCTGGATGGATCCTCCAAATATTAACCTTGAAGATTAGTGATGGCCAGGCATGGTGGCTCACACCTATAATCCCAGCCCTTTGGGAGGCTGAGGCAGGCTTGAGCTCAGGAATTGAGAATAACCTAGGCAACATGGCAAAACCCTGTCTCTGCAAAAAATAGAAAAATTAGCTCAGTGGAGTGGCATGTGCTATTTGGGAGGCTGAGGTAGCAGGATCGCTTGAGCCCAGGAGGTCGAGGCTGCAGTAAGCTGAGATTATGCCACTGCACTCTAGCCTGGGTGACAGAGTGAGACCCTGTCTCAAAAAAAGAAAAAAAAAAAAAGTGGAAAGATAGCTATAATCACACTTTGAGTTAGGTGCTAGTGACCAACCCCCACTTTGCACACTGATGCATCGATCTCCTACAATTAATAAGCAGTGAGGGACACCTAGCATCGTGCTAGCTGAAAAGAATTCAAGAATTACAGATATTGAACTACCTGCTTGAAAACAAGTGAACAATTCTACATATGGCAAAAGATTAGCAACAAGGATTTCACTTGCAATGGAGAAACAAAAATACTTAAAAATAGTCCCCAAGTGTAAATAAGAGGAAGCTACAAATAAATTTCTCAAAATAGAAAATGCCCCAACTGTGTATGGTTATTAAATGTTAGTCTTACAAACGTTATGTAGCAAAGGGAAACCAAGCTACAACACTTCTCAGGAATGGGGGTGCCCAAAGCAGCTTTTTAAAAAATGTGATGTCCTCATGCAGCTCCATGAGTAGGGATCATAAACTTCAGGTAGCCATATTTGTACCTAGACTGTATTTGTTCCAAGTCATGTGTTAGGGACGCAAAGGTACAGAGGAGTTGTGGGGGTGGCTAGAGGCCCTTTAGCTCTGTGTCTGTCAATTCTGTGACATTCAGTGATCTTGCTGAGTTAGAACATTTCAGAACCATTTCTGCAATGAGTGTCCTACCAGATGGCTTCAGCTGATGGATTAAAGGGCCACTCCCCCTCCAGGAATCTCTCCAGTCTGAAGACTTCTGATAGCTGACCTGCTTACGTTCTTAGTTTTCCAATGCTAAGTGTCATAATTATCTCTCTCAAACAGAAACTGCAGACATTATCTATAAACAGCTGTCAAACGTGTAGGGGGACCAAAAATATTTTTAGGAAGCCCAAAAAAACCCCACTAAAAGTATAATGTGAGGTATCTTCTTGACGTTCACATCATCTCTTTGTGAACTTACCATATTTAGACTATAGGTATAGCAGTTAAACTTCTAACTGTATTCAATGTGGCTGAAAAATTGTAATAATTGGAAAATAGTGTACACTCAAAATAATCTGTTCAGTTTAATAGGATCAACCTCATGTCTCTGCCTAGTAAATCAGTAAAAAGCTGCAGAACTGAAAGTGAACTATAATTAGACCAAATTCCTAATGTGGAAATTATTAACTATGAGGCACAGGAGAATAAATGCTAAAGGTATCTGCAACAGCATTGCTATGGCTCAGTTATTAGATCTAATTTTGGGTGTAATAAGGATTCTTCCAAGCAGGTAGCCAAAATGTAGTAACTCAAAACCCCATTCTGAACATAAAACCAAGCAATAGCCAAGGTGCCCTTACCGCTGTTTGTCAGTGGAAAAATGATGACGGGCCGGTAGTTGAAAACACAATACTTTTGCAGACATTATTTCCTATGACCACATATTCAACTTCAGATTAACTCCCCTGAACCTACAGTCAATAATCCACAAGACTGTGAAGTCAGTCCATGGGCTTTGGAAAGAGCTGCAAAACCACTGCTTCTAGCTGGTTCTTTGCTTTGTGCATTCTAAGAACATGGTATCTACTTGGCCATTATGGAATGATTCTCACATTAGTTCTCAGCTATCAAATAACAAGCTTCCCTGGGAATCCTCTTTGGCATACGCACTAGGGGTAACATAGTGACAATGGGATCTATAAGGCTTTAAGACACTTGGGGGCCGGATGCAGTGGCTCACACTTGTAATCCCAGCACTTTGGAAAGCCAAGGTGGGCGGACTGCTTGAGCCCAGGAGTTCAAGACCAACGTGGACAACATGGTGAAACCCCATCTCTACAAAAAATGTAAAGAATTAGCTAGGCGTGGTGGCATGCATCTGCAGGCCCAGATATTTGGGAGGCTGAGGTGAGAGGATTGCTTGAGCCTAGGAGGTAGAGGTTGCAGTGAGCCAAGATCGTGCCACTGTACTTCAGCCTGGGCAACAAAGCCAGACCTGGTCTCAAACAATAAAAATAAAACAAATTTTAAAAAGGCCTGGCATGGTGGCTCACGCCTGTAATCACAGCACTTTGGAAGGCCAAGGTGGGCGTATCACTTGAGGTCAGGAGTTCAAGACCAGCCTGGCCAACATGGTGAAACCCCATCTCTATTAAGTATACAAAAATTAGTCGGCCATGGTGGCGGGCACCTATAATCCCACCTATGTGGGAGGCTGAAGCAAAAGAACCGCTTGAACCTGGTGGGTGGAGGTTGCGGTGAGCAAAGATCGCATCACTGTACTCTAGCCTCTAGCCTAGGCAATACAGGAAGACTCTGTCTCCAAAAAAAAAAAAAAAAGGTATTTGGGACACCAGTAACATACTAAATATTTTACTCCCCCAAAAGCTTTCTATTTTCTTGCCAAATGAATCAAAAACTTAGTTCAAATCAATGAAGTTACTTCTTAAAAGCCAAAGAGAAAAAAAATCATCTCCAACAAGAAGACACTAAACATTGGTGTTTGTACTTAACACATAGCTAATCTTTACTCAAGGGTGGCCTTTTACCACATACCAGCCATGTTCTAATTGTAACTGTTTCCATTAATTCCAGGGTTTCCCAATTGGTTGATCTGTTTGCAAGTTTATGGGTCTCTTAGGGTTTCTTTACTCAAACAACTCTACACAACTAAGCACAGGAGGTTGACAAGCAAAGGTACTTGCTTTGAACAGAGTAACCAAATAAGGCCAATGGTCAATCTCTATAAAGCAAAGCAAATATGACTTGTGTTTCAGTTTTACCTCCCGTATTTTGGGATCCTTATGTAGTTCTTCCAAAGTGATAGGCAAGCACCACCTCTTTTATACATGAGAAAATGAGGCCCAGAATATTTAAGTGCCTTGTTTGTGGGATACAGGACTGGTGAGTGGCAGAACTAATGCATTCAAATGACAATGACTTTAAAGCACAGATTAGCATATATCTTTCTTAAAAGGGCCACATAGTAAACATTTTAGGCTTTGAGGGTCAAAGGCTATTGTTATGTAGGTATTTATTTATATAACTATTTAAAATGTAACTAAAAAATGTGAAACTGTAAAACACATTCTTAGCCTTCACACAGCAAATAAACAGGCAGCTGGCCAGCAGGAGTTGATGGCTCCTGCTCTAGAGGAACAGTATTACCTACATACTAACATGACTACTAAATACCACTGTTGGGGACTGTTTAGCAGTCTTAAAATTTTAAAAAAACTTTTTTAAGAATTATGGTACAATACATGTAACATAAAATTTACCACCTTAACCATTTTTAAGTGTACATTTCAGAGGCATTAAGTACATTCACACCGCTGTGCTAACAACATCTACTTTTCCTTTATTTTTTCTTTTGAGACAAGGTCTTGCTGTCGCCCAGGCTGGAGTGCAGTGGCGTGGTAAAGGCTCACTGCAGCCTAGACCTTCTGAGCTCAAGTGATCCTCCCACAACGGCCTCCTAAGTAGGTAGGACTACAAGTATGCACCCTCATGCCGGGATAAATTTTTTATTTTCTGTAGAGATGAGGTCTCCCTATGTTATCTAAGCTGGTCTTGAATTCCTGGGCTCAAGTAATCCTCCCGCCTCAGCCTCCCAAAGTGTTGAGACTACAGGCGTGAGCCACGGTGCTCGGTGTACCAATGAAAGGACACAAAGATAGATGTGTACCCGCCCCCCCGCTACACCCTTTGTTCTGCTCTCTAATCTTTGCACATACCAGAGATTTCATAAGTTCTGTGAGTACCTGTTTTTCTGCACGTACCAGAGATTTTGTTTTGCACATACCAGAGATTTCATAAGTTCTGTGAGTACCTGTTTTTCTGCACGTACCAGAGATTTTGTAAGTTCTGAGCCAAGGTCACAAGACATGTTTAAGTAAGATAAACTCTTGCTGCCATAAACCTGCTCCCCCGCCTCAAAGGTTGAACCAAAATATCAGAAATGGCGGGAACCAATCATAGTTAGCCAAATCGCCTTGTTCAAACACTAGCCAATCATATATCTGATTTGTATAATAACTCTATGCCCACTTTTCTTAGACTATATAACACTGCTCA